TAACAATTAACCTAATATCTTGCTTATATCCTTTTAATAATCTTTAATAAATATAGATTTTTTATTCTTGAAATTTAATATATTTTATGCTTGTATCCTCTTACTCGGAATTCTTTGATCATTTAAATCTATAAATAATATTGTTAAAAATAAATTAATTATTTAATTTATTTATTTTTAAATTAATTTAAAGTATAAATCTATTTTTTTTTTATGCATTCTCTTCCCTTCTATAGATGTTAATTAGTATTTATATTAGTGTTTTACCTATAACCAAAATAATATTATGTTATTATTTAAATTATAAGTTTGAATTAGTCTAAATATTAATACATAAGTTCTTGATTTGTCTAAGATCTATTTAGATTATGTATAAGATTCATTAAACTACTTTCATTAATTATGTTTCTATATATAATTTCTAATTATTTATGTTGTCCTAAAATTGCCAAGTGGCTTCATTTTAGGGCTTAACCACAATGCATACTACTCTCCTTTTAATATAATACTAGTATAGTACCCGAGCGATGCGCGGATAAATTATAAGAAAAGAATAGTGTACAGAGATAATAAAAATATATGTATATTGCAAATTAGAATTAGCGATCGAATACAAAAGGAGTAAAATAAAAAATAAATAGATGAATTTTGTTTGGAGTAATATTGGTGGCTAAGTATGATGAATTCCATGACGGTACTATTCGAAGAAACTCTCCCAAAACCTGTGAAGCTAGGTCAGACGTATGGTGATCTCCAACACCTATAACGAAAATTTAAAACTCAAACATCAAAATTTTGAGTATAATTTATAACGCAAGAAGTCATATTGAATAGCATTTCATTGTTTACCTTATTTATGTTCATTGATAAAATGAAGCAACTTGACAGATAGATAAAGTATTTATCTTTGGTAATTGATGTATACTCTGTATTTTTTTACAGAGTATCAACGAAGAGCAGTAAAGAAAAAACAAATGGTCTGAGCAACAGAGAAAGATCAAATGGTCCTTTTACTTTCCTTCGCAAATGTTGTTATGTAAGACTGTGATTGTATCTACCTTCATTCCAACACTGAATTATAAGGTGCATGCCTTCCACATTGATGGAACAATTATTGTTTTTATTGCAAAAAATGTGGATTGTACCACATAATATATCGTTTCCAAGAAGATGGTCTCTGTAATAAATGGTTAAATTTATTTTTTTTATTTGGAGATTAGCATGCACCTGCCATCATGAAAGTATTTTAACGCATATGTTGTAATGTTATGAGTTTTTGTAATTGGTGACTGCTCAACTCTACCTATAGGTGTTGTGTGATATGGATTCTGAACGATAGCTGCTGGTTTTTTTAATTATATTTTGTAGGTGATACCTTTCAATTTTACTCATAATTCATCGCTATACAGTAGTAAGATTTAGTTTATTATCATATGAAATAAGAGAAGGCAATGGATCCACCTTCAACCACAGTAAGAAAATTGCATAAAGGATGGGAATACCTATTATAGTGATTCCAAATACTATTAATATTTATAGTCTACCAGGACAAATTGATATCTACATAAGAACCTCTCTAGGAGACCGTGTTGTTAAACTTTATAGTCGATGTTTTATACGCCATGGGACGAAAATCAAGTCGTGTACAAATTATTGTTGTATGTTACTTCCCAAACCATTGCCTCGTATGAAAAATATAAATATCTATTTTTAGTTTGACTTATCGAAAGGAACTTAAGTTAAGTTAAAATTTTCATTTATAAAGGTATACTGTAGTGCAAGTATATTTTGGACGAATTCATATTTGTAACTACCTAAATAAATTTATATTCCTCATAAATTTTTGATTTTCAAAATTAGGGAAAACAGATTGTAAAGTATTACTATACATGAGAAATATATATAATCAAGTAAAGAGCGTAAAAGT